TTTGCACCTCTGATAAAGCACAGAGCTAGAAATATATTTGTACACAGAAAATACAAGAATTGAGAGGCTGTATTATCAGGTGTCTATGTGAAGGTAGCCAAGCCCTAATGCGGTGCAGTGAGGACATCTGTATGACTCATGCTCACTTTTCTTTAGTGCCATATCTTTACTTTGTTTCTGCTGTCAGACTAAAAATTCCAGTAATATTAATGCGAACCAAAGGAAAGGTGGAATTCTTTGCAGTGCTGTAAACTCATACAAAAAATCAATTTCATTCAGTTTTAATTATTAAGCGCCAAATACCTGTCGCCTTAAAAGTAAAGATGCTGAAGCGTTAGAGAGAACAATAAAAAACAACAGAAAACTCCCCCTGAGCAAGCATTTGGTGACAGTGGGAAGGAAAGACACAGTTTTAACAGGAAGTAACCTCTGACAGAACCAAACTTGTTCACGCTGCTGATATCTACGTCTCCCTCCCCCTTCTTCCTCAGATGAGCTGAAGCACATCATCGGAGCCGATACCACGAGGAAGGGCATCCTCCGCGTCTTTGACATGTTTCAGTACCAACCCATGAACCGTCGCCTAGTCTACGTTTTCCTGGAGGGCTTCCTGGAGACCATGTTCCCTCAGTACAAATTCCCCGAGCTCTTTGTCAAGCTGCACTCCCGTTCGCCACGCATCCATAGATACAACCAGAAACTGAAATCCACCTCCCTCAAGAGGTGACAGGAGAGGACAGAGGCAGCAGGACAAGGGCCGATAAGATACACAGACTTGAGAGCTGAGGATGTGAGTGGCAGTGGTGGGGATTGATATGACTGTTGTTGAGGGGGGTGTGTGTGTGTGTGTGTGTGTGTGAGAGAGAGAGAGAGAGAGAATTCTGCCCTTCCTCTTCCCTCACACATTGCTGAAGGTGAAATCACTCTATTTTATCTGGCTGATTATTTCTGTCAAGACAGAAACGAAGGATGTGTAACACTTGGACACACGCGCAAACACAAATCTCATAATTTGCACCAAGACTGAACTTGGCTGTGTTTTCTTTTTAGTTCCCCTGCTCCATTTGAGACTTTTTTTGTTGTTGTTGTGTTGAGCGTCATTCTGGGCCAGCTGATGCTGCTTTATCATGGTCCAGAGAGCCCAACCACAGGTATCGTTGTTTTTAAACTGCAGGACTCAATAGCATTAGACCCACACCTTGCCTTACCTTCCTGCTTCTATCTGTTGGCCAGTGCGGTCCTCCTCCACGTCAGCGAAGTGGCCGCACAGCTGTAATCAAACCCACCCTCATGCTGTAGACATCTAAGCTGCAAAAATCACTTGCAAACTGTGTTTTCGCAACCAAAAAACGTCGATTGCACTGGGTTTAAGAGCCGCTGTTTTTAAAATGTGACAAATATCCTTTTTTTTTCTCTCCTCAGCCTCAGTGCTTGTCTTGACTTTCTTCCACCCTTTCTCTCTCTCTCTCTCAAGTCTTAGATCACCTGTACTTCCCTCGATCATCCAATCAAAGAACCCTTTTTAATGCTACTCTCATATCCTGCAGCAACCAAAGCTCATGCTGTTCGTATGTGTGTGTACTGTTCTGACATTGGGGAAACATTACTGTGTTTCATATCACGCAAAGAAAAAGAATGCAACGTTGACCTTTAATGACCCTTAAGGTGAGGCTGTGACGACACACTGAGGTGTGTTATTGTCAGGAACTATTCAAGAATGTACTCTCTGGTCTGTTCTGTATCTGGCTTGAGCAGAAGTCTGTGTGTGTGTGTGTGTGTGTGTGTGCGTGCGTGCGTGTGTGGTTAGCACAAAGATGCAACCCTCTTCTGTCAGAAACTGTGCCAGTGTGAGCTAGGGGAACCAGCCTTAAGTCTATATACAGTGTACACTGATCAAGAGATGCACGCTAGAGGTAGCTCTCCTTCACATGACTGAACATAACAAGGAAATCAGGACAGAGATATGGAGATGTGTCCCTAACCACCTTTGGTCAGAGGAAAAACGACTTGGATTTGGTGCAATATTTTTTTCTTTTCTTTAAGGCATGTGCATTTTTGAATCATTGTATTACTGAAAATTATTTTAATAGTAGAAAAAGCGAGAGCTCTTTTCCCAGAGATGTCCTCTTACCCCCGACAACTTAACATTCCGTTGTTATAAAAGTACAATGTTTAATTTTACAGACTTGTTTTATAAGTCTGATTTTTCTTTTTTAGATTTGTTTCTTTTTTTTCTTTTCGGTGTGCAGGGGGTTATTTTCCCATTTATCCCCAGCTGACTCTTGCAGAAATAATCAGAGATGATTATTAGACTGTGGCGGGGGGACAGCTACTTCAGAGGTGGCCTTGAACAACTGCTCTTTCTTTCATGCATTGAAGCCTGTGAAGTGTGAAAAGAGGTTTGTTATTATGAACTGACCGCTGAAAAGACCCCCCCCCAAAAAAAAATTGGGTGAGACAGGTTCACAGAAGAGCTGTGTCTTGTGACCACTAGAATCACTACTAATAAGCACTTACTGTAGCAAGTGTGGGAGTCCCACTCCCCCATTGACTAAACGGCGCCCCATTCTGCTGCAGTCATTGGACGGAAACTTCCTCGTCTGCTGTGATTTGCTTGCACCGAGCTGCCCCGATGGACTCTGATTGGCTGAGCAGGACAACATGGCTTGGACTGGACTGGAGCCTCGCTTACTGGGAGGTGAATAATGTGTCCCTTATGATGGCGAAGGCGGTATCACCTTTAACTTTCTGCACACCTCTCCATACAGGAAGGCTCATGTTTTTTTTAACCCCAGTATATATGAATATGATAATGAAAATTGTGCATATCTGTGTACAGTATGTGTTAATAGTGTGCCTAAATGTACTGTCAACTCTATTTTCATATTTTTCTTTAACCTAAAAAAAAAAGAAAACATCAGGATGTCATGATCATTTTAAGCAACTGAAAAATGACTTTAGGGTGTTTTGGTTTATTTTGGCATCATGCTTATCAAAATTTTCCTTGTGAGCATTGTGCTCAGAACAGTACAACACTAATAAAAAGGTAACTCCGACTAACTGAACAACAGTGTGTAAGTATTTGCTTGCAGCATTTCTTTTTTTGTAAAGACTCCATTCAATTGGAAACGGTATGTAACTGCTATTTTTTTTTTTCACACTGCTGAAGGGTTTCCTAACAGCTTCTGGAAGATCAGTCACATGAGGCGGACTTATTGGTGCTCTGGAAATTGGAAAGTCCTGCAACAGGTGTGAAGAGCTTCTGTGTGAGCTGCTATAGTGTGATAAGTAGAGATGGACCGATCCGATATTACGTATCGGTCCGATACTGACCTAAATTACTGGATCGGATATCGGAGAAAAATAAAAAATGTAATCCGATCCATTAAATATCACGAAAGCATCTCACAAAACTTGCACTTTAATTTGATGTAAAATGAATAGAAGTCAATTAATGTATATAGTGACTATTAAGTCTAATATATATACCCTAGTAAGCTATAGTACTTTTTCCTTTGGGAAGGTACCATCTGTGAATTCTGCAATTTTGATGAAGAAAGATGTTGAATCTATTTAATATTTCTTGAAAAATAATTGATTTCTGTGCATTTTTTTTCACACTGCATCAAATTAAGGTTGATTACGTCGATTAAGCATCATGAGGTGGAGCGTGAGGGGTGGTTCCCTATTTTTTATTTATTTATTTTTGTTGTTGCTGGGAGTTGGAACCCTATTAGTTAGGTTGCTTAATATTTACGCTAAGTACTCTTTAAAATACCAGAATAGGGAGGATGGTGTAGGTCTAAGTTTATTAGATTGATCAGTATTGCTGAACTATGAATTTTTTTTTTTTGCATACAGGTATAACAGAATAGCTTTAGTGTAGTTGTTGTTTTAAACTTGAGTATGAACTTATACAAAATGCAGCAAGATATTTAAAAAAAAAACAGTTTTGTTGATTAAAACACACTATATCGGATTCATATCTGTATCAGCAGATATCCAAATTTATGATATCGTATCGGACATAAAAAAGTGGTATCGTGCCATCTCTAGTGATAAGTGCAGTCCTGACACTTTTGGGCACTGTTTCTTTATCAGTAACACAGATGGCTGCCACATGCAGCAAAAAACACAAATGCAAAGTATGGAAAAACAAACACAGGAGCAGCAACTGACAAGAAAGCTACAGAAGTTAAAGTTAAATCAGGGTCATGTGCTTTATTAAACAGAGTTAATTCAGTAATCTTTTTGATAATCACCATGTCGACTCAAGACTTGAACTGTTTTTAATACTTGGGAGGTTGTCCTGAGACATCAAGGCAGTTTGACCTAATTCACTGTTTTTATAGTAACTATTTAGTCACAAACTGTGTACTACCTGCAGAGGTTTTGAACTGTAATCTCCAGGTAGTGTTCCAGTGATATACTAGTGAACCAAGATGCAAAATGGCACGGTTTCATGCACCCACTGTCAGTTTAACCGTGCTTTTTCTGTTTTGACATTTTAAAAAGAGTGAAAAAGGTCAGTCAGTGACAACATAATGATGAGAGCTGAGTATACATACGAGTAGTGTGCATCACCATTGGTTTCACATTTTTGTACTACAATAAATAGTCTTTAATGCAGGTAATAAAACGAGTCAACATTATTTACCACCAGAGATGGGCAGACTGTAATCTGATTACTTTTTTTAAGTAACAAGTAAGGGATTACTATCGCAAAAATGGTAATTAGAGACAGAGAATGGTGCATATAATTTAATTTTACTTGATGCATGAAGTTAAGATTAAAACTGATAACAGTTTTTAATTGTAATTTTTAAAAAAAAATAATAAAAATAAAGTAATTAATTACTTTTGAAAATAAGTAATCAGTAAAGTAACGGGATTACTTTTGGGGGAAGTAATTAGTTACTGATTACTTTTTTCTAGTAACTTTAACAACACGGTTTACCAAACACGTCTGATGCTGACAAAGAGACTTAAACTCACACATATAGACAAATAGTTGTTTTAATTTAAGAAGTCAGCAGCTTCCAGCAGTAGAGTACATAGTCCAGCCATACAACGTCAGCACACATCCACTGTCATTACAGGTCTCTGCAGGCTGTCCAGAGCAGTGTCTTTGCCTCGGTGTCCGGTGAATGACCCCACGCAGTCCTGAGCCCATTTACACGCACGCTTTCTAAAGAGTCCTCAAGTCTTCCTCTGCGCTTTTCCTACAGGATCCGTGATGACTACTATCCCCCAGGCAGCCAAACCTTGAACACAAGTGCGCATTTGTTCATTAAAAGACTCCTAATGCAGCAAACAGTCAGAAAACTGATTGACTTACTTGCAGCGAAAGTGATCTGTGCCACTGTCCCCATTGAGGTGGGTCCTCCCTGCCGCATCACCTTCCGCGCTGCGTGAAACACATAAGCTCCGGACAGAATCAGCCCACCTCCGGAGATAAGCCTGCAGCTCCAGCAGCTCTTAAACATCTGGCTGGGTTTGGACACGGGGGCATCTGCTCCTCCTGTTGGCGGCTCTAGCCCTGTTGACATTGTACCACAGGGTGCTGCTAATGCTAATGCTAATGCCCTTGGTTATAAACTCCTAGAAACGTCAAACATGAAAAATAAACCGGAAACTGTTCCGGTTTTGTTTGAATGACTCGCCCAAATGAAGAACAAAGTTAGAGACTTAACACAAATGCTATTTTCACTGGCTGAAGAAAGGTCGGATTTAGCAAAGTGGGTCCAGGTCATGGCCCTAATGTTTCCTATCTGGTATTTTCAAAATAAAAGTTGTACTTTACCATTCGGAACAAACGCTGGTCTTTGGGGGGAGGGACAAAGATCGACAGAAAACATAAAAACATTGTGATAAATATTTAACAATTTTCCATTAATAAAAACATATTGTCTTATTTCATCTATTTCTATGAGGAAATTTCTTTCCAAAAGAAGTTGCAATTTCATTTTAAATGTAAACTTACCGATCTAAATAATAATAATAATAATAATGGATTGGATTTATATAGCGCTTTTCAAGGCACCCAAAGGTATATTGAATTCATATTCCGTATTCAGTTTGGTGAAGTGCCAGATCTCATTATACAGGTGCATATGGTAATAAAAGGAAAAGCCTGACTCACAAAAAAATAACTGCCAGACTTATTGAACCTTCTGATAATTGAATCAGGTGCTGCTTACTTAAGAGACCTGCAGCCTTATGTCCATAGAGCTAGAGCTAATGTCCATAGTTTAAGGAATAGTTTGAAAACAACATTTTTTTTCAAACAGCATCGTGTGGTGTAGGTGGTCATCAAAATAGAGAACAGAACTGAACAATTTCCAATAACAAACCTTAGCATGCACTAACATTACACATCTCTAAACAGCAATATATATTTCAAAGTTTTTTTATCAATGTATTGACTGTTGCAGTGAACAGGCATGCTGCTTTGAAAATCACGTGCAATGTGTGACCACGATTGGCACACTGTTCACTGAGACCATGAATGCCACTTCTTTGAAGCATTCTTCTTCTTCTTCCATCAAAATGGAAGCAAAAGCAACACGAGATGCTTTGATCTACCGAAAGGAAAAAGCAGAATATCTGAACTCAAACCAGCCAGGTGGAGTCATTAAGATAGAAACAATAATTCAGTGCAGTGTCTCAGGTAGCTCTGTGCGTTATATATAGGCTCAGTACAATGAACAGTCAGTTTCAGGGAACTCCAGTGTCGGTACTAGCGGCTTTTATGATTTTATGTTTGTAGTCATTTAACTTCCATCCATTCATTGAACTTAAGAGGAAGAAATGTCAGGCTGGTTCGGTGCATTTGGTCCCATGCTGTCTTTAACTAAACAACTTAGTTCACTTTGTGGCTGAGCTGTATGTGAGGTTATGTCATGGCAGCTTTGGCTGGAATACCTGTCTCCTCCTAGGCTTAGCAAGTTTCTCCGTGAATAGAGCTTCTAGCTCTTCTAGCTTCTAGCACATCTGTGGCCGTGCAGGCGGCCTCATTGGAACCTTTAAATAAAATCCCATAAACCTGATATCTAGTGTCAAATTATATCAAAGCTGCTTACTGTCAGACTTGTTTAAAACTGTGACTGCAAATAAATTCAAACAAGTGAGCTTTTCTCAGAGAGAACTGAAAAAGAGAACAAAGCAATCCAGAAGGCAAAGAAGGAAAGGGAAATAGCAAAGAAGACAACTGAAAAAGCAATACTGAAAATGACTGAAGTCCAGAGAGCACTGAAGCAGAAGATAAAAGAAATACAAAAAGTAAAGAAGGAAAGTGAAACAGTGAAGAAGGCAACGGACAAGGAAACGATGGAAATGAAGGAAGTTCACAGAGCCCTAGAAAAAAAACAAAAAGGAAATAAAGAAGGCAATGAAAGCATCTGAAGTAGCATAGCGGCAAGAACAGGTGGCAGAACTCAAGCCCAAGAGTCAAAGATTGAAATGCAAGAAGTACAAATAGAACTGAAAGAGGGGAGAAAGGAAATGGAAAGATAAACATGGACCATCAAACTAATGAAACTAATGGAACTAATGAAACTCCAGAGAGAGCAGAAATAAGTAAAAAATGAATTAGAAGAGGCAAACATGGAAAATCAAAAAGTAAACAATAACACAGACATTGTAAAACAGAAAACTGAAACAGCAAAGAAGAAGTTCCTGGAAATCCAAGAGCCCTTGAAGAAATTTAAAAAGGAATAGAAGAGGAAAAGAGAGAAAATGAAATAACAAAAAAGAAAATGCAACGATTGAAAGAGAAATTGCAAAGATGGCAGCCACAAATGCAAAGAGGGAATAGGCCCAAGTATCCTCTCCATCATCAACAATTCTTTGTCTACTAGTGTTATGCCATCTGTCTTCAAGCAGGCAGGTGGTTGTTCAGCCTCTGCTAAAAATGATCAACATATCTCTAAACTTCAATTCCTTTCATACGTTTTGGAAAAAGTCATTCTTCATTAACTTTGTCCTCACTTACAACAAAACCTTTTTAGAAAGTTCCAGTCAGGTTTCATGGTCAATCACAGTACAGAGCCCGGCCTACTAAAGTTTCTAATCATCTGACCTTGAGTGCTGTTATTTATTTTTGCATGTACTTAAAGTCTTGATGGTACAAAATAATCTTCTGTTGTATGGTAATGTCCTAAATAAAGTTGTTTTGCTCTGTTTTTTTTTTTCAATTTTCCAGCTAATGTAACAAATCCTTGGGTCTGTTTTTGGAAAATCACTCTGCTTGGCACGAGGAGTTTCTTATAACATCTTAACTAGAAAATTGAGCTGAGTCATCGTGCCTCGTGGACGACTTTTGCCCTCTTCTTATAGTGTGTGTTAGCGCACAGCCGGCATGCCTCGTGTGAAGCAAACTGGAAGAAATATGTTGTTCGTCATAGCTGTTGTCAGTGTTTATTTGGCATTGGTCATCAGTCCAACGGACTCCACTGCAGACTCATCATATGTTGCCGCTGTGTACGAGCACAAAGTAATCCTGAACCCAGGCCCCCGCACACCCGTGTCCCGCCACGAAGCTCTGCAGCACATGCAGAAAAACCTGGATATCTACGAGGAGCAGGCAGCCCGGGCAGCCCAGCAAGTATGCACACATTTAAATGTTGTGTTTCATGTTTTTAGTCACATGATAGCATTACTCAATGAATTGTAGCAACTTCTGTTGAGATGTTCTTCAAATGAATGAACTTGTAATGGACAAGAATTAATATAGTTAAGGCTACTGCAGAAGAAAATCAAGACAAACATGATTCAAAGATAAAGGAAGTAAGGCTTCCTTTATCTCTGACTTTTTACTGAACTGGTAATTGATGTTCATATGCCCTAATATGACAACTGTCCACCCTTTAGTATCACTTTATAGCTGTTGGTCGACAGTTATTAATGCTTCACCCTGTATGAAGTTTACTGTCACTACCAGAGGTGTAGTCCTGCCATAACGCATAGGAGCAGACTATATCGTAAACTATATGTATATATGTCTGTATACACACAACTATATATATATGTGTGTGTGTGTGTGTGTGTACATACATGCATGTAAAATGTTTGAATGTAAATGTGTTTATAAAACTCTGACTTTAACTTTAAGTTCACGAGAGAATACCTGAGTGAGAGAGATGGAATCAAACGTGGAGAGAGACAGGCAACTAAAAAGACATCCAGAGAGGAGAGCTGATGAACATCATCACACAGATCACTTTATGTTGTTAAATTCAGTGTGACATTTGAGCAAGTAGAAATAAGTAACTCAAAAGTTACTGCAACAGATCTCATATCTCTCTGTCATCTTCGTTTCACTCTCAGGGTGCTCAGATCCTGGTGTTTCCAGAAGATGGTATTCATGGATTTAGCTTCACTCGACCATCCATCATTGGCTACCTGGAAACCATTCCCAACCCTCAGGAGGAGAGCTGGAATCCGTGCACAGAGCCGGAAAGACACAACAACACTGAGGTTCACAATCATATATTTAGATTTTGTGATGGCAAGAAAACTCTACTCTCACAACATGCCACTGTATCTGAATCACATCATATTTAATTACTTTTGTGACTCAAAGGTTCTCCAGAGATTGAGCTGTATGGCTCATCATAACAACATCTACCTGGTGGCCAACATGCTCGACCTACAACCCTGTCCCCTGAAGACCAGCCCCTCCTCCACCTGTCCTCCTGATGGGCGCTGGCAGTTCAACACAAATGTGGCTTTCAGGTACATGTTAACTCTTAATATGGATTTCTAGAGAACGGACAAATAAAAGGTTTATTTTTCTATGACTTATTGTCCACAGATGCAGTGCTTGTGCCTAAATAAAAGAGCAGTTCTCCACATTTCCATCAAAAAATGTTGGCACGACTGCCAAAAATACCACAGAGTCAAAGTTGAAACTTCTCTTGTCAGTAGCTACTGGAGAAGCTACTGTAAGAAATACCAGCTACACTGAATACAACAACTACAGTGGTGGAAATAATTATTTGATCCCCTGCCGAATGTGTAATTTTGGTCACATCCAATCAAATGAATGGAAAGAGACAAACTATCAACCAAAAATCCAGAAAAAATATTTAGTAATAAATTGATTTTGATGGCATTAAGTTAAATAAATATTTTATCCCCAAGCAAAACTTTATGATTGGCAAAGAAACCCTTTTTGGCAAGCAGTGGTACAACATTTGTTGTAGTTGGTTACCAAGTTTGCAGATTTCAGGCGGGGGCTTTGGCCCACTCTTCTATACAGAAAGCTTTGAAATCCTTTAGGTTTCTTGGCTCCTGCTTGGCAATCTGCAGTTTCAGCTCCCTCCTCAGATTTTCTATAAGACTGAGGTCTGGAGCCTGGCTACGCCACTCCCTGACATTAATGTGCTTCTTCTTCAGCCACTCCTTTGTTGCATTGGTTGTGTGTTTTGGGTCATTGTCATGTCAGGACGACCCATCCACGACCCATCTTCAATGTTCTAGCTGAAGGAAGGAGGTTATCGTCCAAGGTTTTACAGTACATGACCCTGTTCATTGCCCCCTCAGTACAGTGAAGTTGTCCTGTACCCAGACAAACAGCCCCAAAGCAAGATGTTTCCACCTCTGTGCTTGACTGTAGCGATTGTGTTCTTTGGTTTAGAGTTAACATTTCTCTTTCTCCAAGCAAAGCGGGTTGATTTTGGTTTTACATGACCATAGTCATAATCCAGTGACAGTTGTCAGTATTTCCACTGCTGCACAGCAACGATAACGACTGATAATTAATTTGGCAAACTTTACTTTTCAAATTGTAAACAAATATGGCTTAAAACGACATTTCTGTCGTTGCCACAGTGTAACTCGGTTTAACGCAGCAGCCTGAAGTGTCCATCAAACTGAATAATCTCATTAGGAACCCATCCTCCTTTGGGCTCCGCCTTCAAACAAAGTTAAAAGTGAGTTGATTCGCACGAACAGGATTTCTCTCCGAGCGCAGAGAGCTGCCTGCCACAGATTGAAACAGCAGCAGAGCACGCAGAGCAGACATTCGTGTGTGTGATGGCTTCTTTGTGTGTGCAGCTGCAGAGTTCCACGCGCACAGTTGTCGAATTTACGCGCGAGGAATTTCATTGTGCCCGAAATGATTTGCTCGGATTATGTTTTTGCTCGCACTTTTGTTATGACATAAATATAATTCAGTAATATATCCTGAACTGACTGCATCAGTGAAAAAGAGCTGTTAGTGACCTGCGTAAAATATCCTCTTTCATACAGGTCAGACGGCCTTCTAATTGCACGCTACCACAAGCAAAACCTTTTCTTTGAGCAATCCTTTGACACACCTCCAGAAGTTGAAGTCATAACATTTGATACACCTTTTGCTGGGAAGTTTGGCCTCTTCATCTGCTTTGACATCCTCTTTCATGATCCTGCAGTGGTGCTGGTGGAGATGGTATAAAATATAATCACATACGCACTCAGAATATATATCCAACATTGTTGGGATTGACTTTGATATCCATCGTTTCTTCTTTGTGGCTTTTTAAGGGTGTGCGTCAGTTGATCTTTCCAACAGCGTGGATGAATGCGCTCCCCCTGCTGGATTCAGTTCAGTTTCACAGTGCATTCAGTCTGGGTGCCAACGTCACTCTACTATCTGCCAACATTCGCAATGATCAACGCATCATGAAAGGAAGCGGTATCTACACCCCCTTTTCTGCCACCTACCACCATGCCTGGAAGGGAGACCCAGAGGAGGGCAGGCTGCTGGTGGCCAGAGTGCCAGTTTTGGAGCCACTGGAGGTAAAACAAAGTGCAGCCAAAGAGGTGGAGGCTGGTGGTGTTGAGTCTGCATCATCAGTGGCTACAGACTCTGGACGCTGTCATCAAGACAGCTGTGATGATCACTCTCCTGATTCGGTCCATCCCTCTCACTCCACCTTCATCTCATTCATGTTCCACGACCCGTTTACGTTTGTCCTCTTAAACGAGACACAAGGTGACGTTAAAGTGTGCAACGGCACTTTCTGCTGCCGCCTGCAGTACAGGTGGTTACTGCAAGACCATAAAGAGCTCTATGCTCTCGGTGCATTTGCAGGACTGCACACCGTTGATGGACGTTATGCACTGCAGGTAGGAATGAAAGAATTTTTAATATTTATAAACTTTTAGAAACTGACCAGGACCCTGCTGACTTTTATTTGTTACATGTCAAATATCTACAGGTTTGTGCAGTAGTCCGTTGTGCAGGGTTGGATCAGAACTCCTGTGGACAAGTAGTAGAAGATGCAGAGTCAAAAATGGACTTCCTGTTGGCGGGGAACTTTGACACCAAATACGTGTACCCATCTATTCTGACAAGCCGAATGTTCCTGGAGCAGCCCGAGAGTCTGCAGAAAGCTCCAGACGGGAAAGTGACCATGAAACATTCAAACATGAAGGGTGGCCTGGTCACCACCTGCCTGTATGGACGAATGTACCACCTGGACAATGAATAAAGTTTGGAGGGATCAGGAAAATAAAGTTCAGTGTTATGGATAAGAGCTGTTCTGTGTTCTCCATCTGTATCCATTCCCTTCTACTTATGCTTATCAGGGTAGGCTGGAGTCTGTCCCAGCTAAAGGAAAACAAATGTCTTTAGTCATCTGTTACTTGATCTTTTCTGGGTGTTCCTTTCTCAAGGCACAAATTATAAGGAAGAGAATATTCAAATGAATCATTCAAATTGATTAAACAATGTTTGTCTCATGCAACTTAATGCTAATTGTGCATTTTTATTTAATTCCCCCCCCCAAAATCTTTTTTTTTTTGCACTTTATTTTAAAATGACCTGTGTTAATAACAAAAGCCTATATATGAATTACCCATAAAACTAACCATACCTATGAGCACCATTTCAGGATTGCTCTCACTCTCTATTACACTCCATTTAGTAAATGAGACCCACACCTTACAATACCCGACATCTAAAATTTATAGGCTGAACATCTTTTAAAGTTACATTATTAGACGCAACTACAGTAATGTGGTCACAAAGAAGACTGCTTCGTGTTAAGAGACAGATGGTTAATAGAATTGGTTTTATGGATACTATTTGATTCCGTGCATTAAAATAGATTTTGTTGTTTTGTCCTTATTAGTGGAAACATATTAGTAGTCCTGCACATATTTGTGTAGTTTTTAGTCAAAAGATGACTCGTGTATTTCCATGGACCTGTGAGTTATGAAGGAAAATGTTAAAAGTGTTAAAACTGCCCCTGGTCTGAAACTAACTCATTCACTTCACTGTCTGCAGAGACAGCAGGTGCTCTTGCTTGCTGTAGGAGGTGTGGTCAGGCCCTCGGAGGGGCAAAGTATCATGAAGCTTTGTGCTTGTTGGAGATATGGTGGTGAGTGATGTACTAAGAGCCAGCCCATTCCAGTTACCACTGTTCATGCCAAGTATTACTAATGTGGTCCTTCTCTGCAGTTTGAAATACAGTATATAAAGCAATTCTGCAGGGTTTGAAAGCCACTAATTAGCATGACCACCTTTATTCTTCAATGCGCCTGATATTCTTGTACAAGTTTTCTTGTCATTTCTTTCAGGAATAGTTCTCTCGTTAGCACCATCAAGCAAATGCAAAAAACTTCCAAATCAGACAGTCAGTCCCTGAAACTCCATGGCTCAGATGTAAACATGGCAAATAAATAGTCTCATAACACAACAGTAAGAAATATAATGAAGCTTTTTTTAAATTAATGTCACATAATATATCATGAAATTCTGTCATGGGACCATTCTGTTACCACGATCCCTCACACTCAAGCGATCTTGCTACACAAAGAGGTGATGTTTTTTAGTGTGGACACTGAGACTGGACCCTAGTCTTGTTTTATAGCTGCTGATTGGCCTTTGTCACAGCAGCTGTTTGAATGTGTCCTTGCAGTGTAAACACAAAGTCAATTATTAACGTTTATCAATGCTCTGCTCCACTGAGATAAACTGGTTCACTGGTATGTCCGATACACTTATCAACAATTTATCGTACCTGTGTTTAAAATGCCTTTTGCTAAAAGAAAAATATATTATCATGAGAGCCGTGCATTTTATTAAATGTTCCTGTTTGTGTAGACAATGATTATTTACCAAATTAGTTGACCAAATGAACCCTTATTGTCTACATTTACATGTATTTTGACAGTTACATAACTGTCTCATTATTATAGCCACACTACACATTTACAACAGGAAATTCTTTTATAGATGTTGTCAATTTATTTTACATTTAAACACATCTGTCTAGGCATATTTATTTTAAAAAATCCCAGATTATTATTATTATTATTATTATTATTATTATTATCTCTAGTAAATGCTAATCAAAATCTCTAAAAATACTCAAAACAGAAGGAGCTTAATTTAAAAATGAAAACATTACTTTACCCTGTGATTTATTTGCTTGTTGTTGTTTTTTTTCTTCTAAAAACGGGATAGTAATTTTGTCACTGGTACATTATACCTGTGCTTACCCCTCTGGGATAAGAGTAAATGGCTGTTGTGAAATGGCCTTTTTAATATAACCAGTCATTTAAGAAGTTACAAATTACAGTGTTGTAGTTGAGGTGTCGAACGGATGGATGGTAAAAGCTGTTTTTGAGTCTTGTAGTCCGAGCATACAGACTCCTGTAACATCTGCCAGATGGTAACAAGGAGAACAGCTGACGTGCTGGGTGGCTGTGGTCCTTGATGATGCTGTGTGCTTTCCGGAGGCACCGTTGAAGATGTCCTGAATGGTAGGAAGCCTCATGCCAGTTATGTGCTCTGCTGCTTTCACGACCCTCTGTAGTGATTTACGGCTGCTGGCAGAGCATTCCGTACCAAACTGTAATTATTGTGCTACAATAAATTACCTGATAATAAATGAGTCTGATAATAAAATGAGTAATAAGATGTTTTGATTTAAGAACTGGGTTTAGCTGAATTATCATAACTTGGTCTAAACTTTAACATAACTCCTCCTTTCACTGGCTGAATTTATCGGTTATGTGCAGACGTTTCCGATGGGATATTTTCAAAATAAAAGCTGGGTGTTTATGTATTTTTTCCACTGAAGTCATGTTTCAGTAAAAAAAAAACAGTCCTAACGAATTCAGTTAAAATGTAAATGTTTATTATTATTATTTTAGCCACACTTTAAATTTATAAAAGGAACCCCATCCCCGCAAAAGAAAAAGAAAGTTAAAATTTTTACACATAAACAAACATCTAAGCATACATTTCAAACATTTCTATATTCTAAAAGTAAACGATAAATATATGTAATATTTAGTATTATTGGATGGTTACTTGGTTATTTAAACCACTATAGTTATATATTTCATAGATGAACTTTTCTTTTTCGGTACTAAAATTTTTGTTATTTATTATCATTGAGATTTTAACTGCACTTTAGTCTTAAAGTTACATGTTACATAAATGTTTAATATTTCTTTAACGTTTTTCTGTCCGGTTACATGCCAATAAAGTTATTTGGGAAAAAAATTGGGGGGAAGAGGTCACGAGATAAACCACAGCGTAACAGGGGCTATTTGTGGGGATATAACACTGTTTGGCACGAGGAGCTTCTTATCACTTTTTAACTAGAAAATTATCGTCTGAGTCATCATGCCTCGTGGAAGACTTCTGACCGCTTATTTATGGTCTGTGTTAGCACATAGGTGTCGTGCCTGACGGTGGAGAAACGATGTTGTTCGTTATAGCTGTTGTCTATGTTTATTTAGCGTCTGTTGTCGGTGTAACTGACTCCACTCCAGACTCGTGGTATGTTGCCGCTGTGTACGAGCACAAAGTAATCCTGAACCCAGATCCGCGCGTGCCCGTGTCCCGCCACGATGCCCTGCAGCACATGCAGAAAAACCTGGATATCTACGAGGAGCAGGCAGCCCGGGCAGCCCAGCAGGTATGCACATATTTAAAACAGTATTACTCATTGACCTTTACAGAATTCTGTTGGCATGTCCTTCAAATTAACGAATGAATTAAATTAAGTCGACTGCAGAAGAAAGTGAAGACGAACAGTGTTCAGAAGCCTTACAGGACCAACCTCTTTTAACCTTGTCACATTTTTCTGTTTTTTATGAAAACTGTCAAACTGTGATCTGTCATAGTCAATTTTTAACAGACTTTTTACTGAAGCAGTCATTGCTGCTTCAGAATAGGTATAAAAGCTGTCCACCCTTTAGTACTACTTAAAACAAGAAATTCTTTATATTGTATCAGCATTATGTTTCTAAGTAAACAACCACTGATTCTTCCCCTGTATAAAGGTGTTTACTTTCACTGCAACAGATTACTGAATCTTCCTCTCTCTCACTGTCGTCTCTCTCAGGGGGCCCAGATCCTGGTGTTTCCAGAAGATGGTATTCATGGATTTAGCTTCACTCGACCATCCATTTCTGGCTACCTGGAAACCATTCCTGACCCTCAGACAGAAAGCTGGAACCCATGCACGGAGCCCGAAAGATACAACAGCACTGAGGTTCACAGTCATATATTTAAATCTTGGTGATGGCAAGCACCACAGGCTTAACACTGCTGTGATGTTTTTTTTTTCTTGATCAGCACCATGGACTACTGAGCCAATGTTTGTAGTGGTAAAAGCTAAAGAAAACATCCATCGATCCATTCTTTTCCACTTATCCTTTTCAGGGTCACAGGGGGGCTGGAGCCTATCCCAGCTGTCTTAGGGCAAGAGGCAGGCACAGGTCGCCAGTCTGTCACCGGGCTAACACATAGACACAGACAGCCACTCGCACTCACACCTATAGGCAATTTTGGGTTTCCAATTAACCCAACCCCACTAACTGCATGTCGTTGGACTGTGCGAGGAAACCGGTGTACCCAGAGAAAAGCCACGCAAACACGGGGAGAAAATGCAAACTCCGCATAGAAAGACCCCGGCCTGATGGTGGAACTCAGGATTTTTTTTTTTTTGAGGCAACAGTGCTAACCACCGTGCCACCGTGCTGCCCTAAAGAAAACGTATACAGGATAAATAAAGTTAGACTTACGTTCACAAGATAGAGTGCTGACTTAAACATATAGTGGAACTAATAATTTGTCCACTTTACTGTAATACTCTGAATATGAGAATCCAGTTTAAAGTACAGGAAGAGCACTTTTGATAGTCTTTGACTGGGCACTCTTATCTTCAGGGCCCCAGGGGAGCTGACCCATCTACTCTGTTGGATGTAACATCTCACTGTGTCTGAATCTCATCATATTTGATTATGTTTGTGACTCAAAGGTTCTCCAGAGATTGAGCTGTATGGCTCGTCGTAACAACCTCTACCTGGTGGCCAACATGCCCGACCTGCAACCCTGTCCCCTGAAGACCAGCCCCTCCTCCACCTGTCCTCCTGATGGGCGCTGGCAGTTCAACACAAATGTGGCTTTCAGGTACATGTTAACTCTTAAAATGAAAATGAAGGGAGCGGACAAATAAACACTTCTTTTCTATGGCCTCCTCTCCACAGATGGAGTGCATGTGTTTGTGCCTAAATAAAGACCAGTTCTCCACAATTCCCACAAAAATGATTGACCCTAGTGCCAAAAACACCAAACATTTCCTGGAGTCAAAGTTAACACTTCTTGTTTCAATAGCTATAACAGAAACTACTACAAGAACTACCAAGTATAGTAATTATTACAACTCTGAATCAAATATGTCTTCTTTCATACAGGTCA